TTTTGTAACTCTTAATTCTGGAAAAAAAAAATTTATAACCCCTTAATCAATTTTTGTAACTCGTTAGACTAGTTTTGTAACCCGTTGTTGAAGTTTTGTAACTCATAGTTCCGAAAAAATTTTGTAACTCCTTAGACCAGTTTTGTAACCCCTTAATCAAGATTTGTAACTCTTAATTCTGTAAAAAAAAATTTATAACCCCTTAATCAATTTTTGTAACAGGATTTGAAATCAAAGATTTGAAGTATAGTGTTTGGATACACTTTATTATACATGAACTTGGATTTCAGAGATAAAGGAGAACCATTCTGTGAACAATTTGTGACATATACACATAGTTAACTTGGAAATTCCGTCTAGGTTGCTCTTTTTCCCGCAAAAAAAAATCTTTTAAAACGTGATTCCCTATACATTACATTACATTCACGATACATATAAATACATGATTCCTGTACATTTAATATACACATCCAATCCAATATAATCAATACTCATATCCAACACACACATCCAACAATCCAATCCAAAATACCATCCAACAATCCAGTCCAATATACACATTCAACAATCTATACCAATATCCAATTCAGTAAAAATTTATATTATCTGAATATTTATAACATATACACTAACAATATCAAGTCCATCCATAACACGAGATGAATAACATAGAGTACACGGCATGAATAAAAGTAAAGTACTATTACAAATAAAAAGTTGTTTATTACATTAAAAATAAAAAAAACCTCACATCTCGTCATCGTCGGCAGCATCTCTATCCCTCGTACGAAAACGAGTGATGCTCCCTCCAATGTCTCCAGTGTCTCTAGTCTGAAGGTCCAATTGATTATATTTTAGAATTATGTGAAGGTCTGAAGGTCCAATTGATTATATTTTAGAATTATGTGAAGTTTGATAATATATTAAACAAAATTGATGATATATTGTTGAATACGTAAATATATGTCCAAGTTTGATAATATATTAAACAAAATTGATGATATATTGTTGAATACGTAAATATATGTCCAGCAAAAAAACTGATGATAAATTGTGGAAAGTATTTGCTAAAACAACAAGCATGAGTGCAACCATGTTTTGAATGTAAATGAAAAAAATATTTTGACCTGTATCCAAATAATGAAAAATCCTGAAATCTGATTGGCCTCTCCCTATAAATTCTGAACGTATATCTGATTGGCCTCTCCCTATAAATTCCATGTTGAACCCAAAATTATGAACAGACTCTACCATCACCCTATAATCCTATTAACTTTGTGCATGCTTAGCAACAGGAGAAGGGTAATAACCCAGCTTAAGAATGGAGGCACAAAGTACAAATCTACAGATGATAAGCCCTTCGGAACATCACTCTTGTTACTCACAGACAATCGAGTTCAGGGATTAGTGAACATCAAAAGAGTTATCCTCAGGAACCTCTTTACTAGCTTGTGTTGTACTTTGGTAGAATTGATAAATCATACTGCAAGTCTTTCATTGTTCTTTCTATAAGACCAACAATCATGGGGGAAATGCTTTCAAAAACAAAACAAATAGGAAAGGAAACATGAACACTTCTAAAGTCTAATGACATTTGATTCAGAAATCTACTTTTCCCTGTTCTTATACCAAGTTAGTACACAGTTCATACAAAGAATGAACTTACAAAGTAGTGATATCTAATAATGGACCAAGCATATTCTTACCATAAATTTTACTAGAATGCTTCAAGTATTTAATATGACAGAGAGAACATACCTGATAGTGGGCTAGAAGATCAACATATCTACGGATAAGAGAAGTGAATTGTACATAACTAGGAACACCAAGAACGCCATGACGAATCGGTTTCTAAAAATCCATCCCTGCTGCACGCATAATTCTAACAAAAGTAGCACTCCTGACAGGTCCTTCCGGGAGATGGGAAAATGCTGCTGATGATATATTTGACTGGGGTTGCCCCTGTATGGTAAAGGAATATTATGCACTATCAACATCAGAAAACTTTTATACAACATTCATTCACATGATTGGTGTGTTCCATTGAAGTTGAGAACAACACACCCTATCAGAGTCGGTAACTAGCAGAGAGAAAAAGGTGAAATGATACATTCTAATACATGCCACAAGTGGTAGGGTAAGATGTTCGTCTCATGGTCAGTCCCAACAGGTAAGGGCAAGGATGTTGCTCCTCCAGACGATGGAATATGAGACCGCTTCAGGGTGGAGGAATTCCTTAAGAAGCTATGCCTTCAGGAAAAACCATAAACACCCATAAACTGAGGAGGAAAAAACCTCCTCCGTCACCACAAAGATTACGAGTTAACAAAGAATCAACAAGGAAGAACCAAAAGGACAAAAGCAACATCCCACAAAGAATAACAAATGGGTGAGTTGCAATTTACAAGTCCAAAGAGGTACCAATGGTAGTAATGTTAGTGTAGTTGGAAGGCGTAGGATATTATTTCAAACACATTCTATATGCTTCCAGAGGCACTTGTAGGCACCCATAAAAATTAAACTTCAATCAACCAAATATAGAAAGGGAAATTACAAAACATCAATTAGAAGCATCAAGACAATACTATTATGCTCAGAATCACAAGAAGGTGATTTGTGATAATATATCTACAACTTATTTTTGCATAGGTATCCTAATGCAACCATTGTTGACCATAAATATTCATATTCTCAGTGCCTGTCCCAAGCTAATATAAACGAGGTTTGTGCTGTTGGTTAGCCGGCAGCCAACATAAAACCTAGTAAAAACTACGTGAAATGAATCCTACATCGTTCTAATTCAATCATTATGTTCAAAACAAACTCTACTCGCGTCGAATTGATTTCTTTGTATTCACAATAATCATCAAGCACACATTCAAGAAACTATATTAGCACATGTATACCTTAAAAGTACATGTAGACACCGTCCTTTCGGCGAAAAGGCTTGCGCTGCCTCACAATGACGGCAGACATCACCTTCTTCCTCAAATCAGGCTTTCCTTTCTTCACTTTGGCCATCACCATGTCGCCGACACAAACCGACGGCAGCCTGTTCAATCGCCCCTTGATACCCTTCACCGAGATGATGTATAGGTTCTTCGCTCCAGTGTTATCGGCACAGTTCACGGTGGCAGCGCGGCATCCTGAACTGTTCCCGGCCGATCCTCGCCCTAATTAATCAATTCAGTTTCAACTACTATTGAAATCGCTAACTATTCAACAATCTACGATGAAAAGGGGTTTCTTTGAAATGAGATAACTGTAAAAGTAAATTATTTTATCCCTGAAAATGAGAATTTGAGGTGGAATCAAGAGGTACATATTTAAGAGCTGATTAATCACATAATCTCCAATAAATTGGAGTAATTTCCATAAAGCAAACAACTGCTGATCAATCGAGTTCAGGGTTAGAGCTCAGCGTACCTTGTGATCGAGCTCCAAAGCGAACACGGCGATGAGGAAGAAGGAGCAAGCGACGAGGGGGAGAGATCGGACGGTCGGAATCATCGGGCCGTTGGATCTAGGGTTTCTACGAGAGAGGAGAAAGGGGGAGACCTAAACCCTAGATCAGATCTAGGTTTAGACGAGAGAGGAGAAGGGGAGAGAGGAGAGAGAGAACTTGAGAGTGGATCGGGGATCGGGACTGTGAAATGAGAGAGGAGTCTGTATCGGGATTTGGTAAATACCAAGGATCAGGGTGAGATTTGAAATATCTATATCTGGGCTTTCAGATTCTTCTCTTTCAAATGATTTGATTTGAAATCTCAGCCCAATTGAAAACCCAAACTAGAGATTTGGATTTGAAATACCCTGGATTTTAAATCCATGGTCCAAATCTAAGTTCCCAAACACAACCTTAAAGAAATGTAAAACAACAAGATCAAGTCATCAAACTGTTAAATATTTGCTTGTGAGCTCTTAAAATGGCCACACTGGGCCCATAAGCATAATTTAGGGAGAAATTATGTAAATTGATACTTTGAGGCTAGAATTGAGTGTTCACCAATACTTTGGGGGAGAATTAGTCATTTTTCCCTATAAAAAATTACGAGGTTATGATCCCTAGCAATAATTGTGGAATACTGGTTGACTATGACAGGGTTAAATGTGGAAGAGAGAACTTGGAGGTTTGAAGGGGAAATTTTATGTATTCAATCCAACGAAAAAGAGAAAATGACGAGTTTGAACAATTTCTTCTTTAACTAAAGGTCTCCCGAGGTCGTGCAATTTTGTAGAACAAATTCAACATCTGAGCCCAAATGCACAGACTAAAACTAAGATATAACTAATAATTATTTACCTGGGTTGTTTGCTGCCATCGGTAATATTAAAACTAATATTTTGCTGTCCTCAGCAATATTGTCAACACTCAACTTCAGATGATGAGTGTGTTTGGCAACTAGTCAAAGCGGCTTATAAGCCACTAAGACCTATTTGGTAAACAGTTTATTTTGGCTTATAAGCCGAAAATATATAAGTTGGGGTAACTGAGCTTATCTTTTGGTGGCTTATAAGCCATATAGTTTGACCGAGTAAAAGACCATATTAGCCCTTACCATTTAAGAAATCTCCAAAACCCTTTTTGGTTATTTTAACAAAAATGGTGGATTATATTTGCCAAACACTTCATGATTTGAAATGGCTTTTAATCCACTAAATCTTCTAAACACTTTTGTCTTATGATCCATTGGATTATAATCTATTTGTGGATTATAAGGCAACGCAATTATAATCTAAATTTGCCAAATATGGCCTAAGCTGTTTACTACTTGGTGAGAAAGAAGGTTCTGGATTTTACCCTTCTTACTCTTCAATCTGGTATAGAAATTATATTAGCCCTATGGATGCCGTTCACAATCTTATAAAGGAGTTAATTGATCTTACCGATATGACTAGGTCTGGTTATGCTTTTCAAGATGAAGATTGTTCTTATTCAGAAAATATAGCATCAACCATATCCTATTCTTAAATTAATTTATTATCACTATTTTGGATAGGTGGATTTGTCGAAATGTCATGGTGGGATCCGGCAATATGCGACCTTGCGATTTCAAAATGGGCAAGCTGTTGGCTTCTCTTCAAATTTATAGATGCATGTACAATTTTGACATAAGGTATTATCTTTATCGCGCTCTTTACACTTTTAAGACCTCTGATAAGATTGTTGTACTATAAGGATGCACAATTATTTTACTCTCATTTGTTTTTGAGTTCAAGCGCTACATTTCTGCATCTAAGTCCTTTCCCATTTTAATATGTAAACTGCACAGTGCATGCAGCTAAACATCAACTTAGCAGGTGGCTGCTACGGTTAAGAGCAAAATTTAGATTTTATACATAATAGTTTTATTTCAATCTTATCCACTTGTTTACTTGATTCCAATTCTTGCATAAAGCTCAATACAGTGCAAAATAAATCTCAGTTTCTAAATTAAATTGATACCAGAAACTGTCATTGTGTTTCTTTCTTTGATCATATTAACTACAAGCATAGATAGAAATATATAACTTTTGAAATCTTTATTAGTCAACAACTTCACAAAATTGTGAAAATCCAAGACAACTTCTTATGGGCGTAGCTTTAATTGGCAATCGTTTGTGTTTATGTGTGTTTATATTATATGAAAAAAACATGGGTATGGAGGTGGCAGCCTATTTTGGTGAATGAGCTACCAAGAGATAGAGCAATGGTGAGACCCACCCTGCCAATCTCATAGGAGCAAGTGGACCTCACCATTCTTGTCCCTCGAAAGCTTATTCTGCTAAATGAGGTAGCAACTCATATTCAGTATCCCATACACACACATACGTGCGCCCATCCACACACACACCCACCTGCACTCGCCCGCTCATCCACACACACGGAGACATGTGTACACACATGTTTTGTCATATGCATGTGTGTATGAATGTAAACACATGCATGCATACGCATAAACACAAAATTCTTAGTAAAGCTTGATTTTATGTCACATAAAACTTGCACAAATGGTTTCAAATATGTAAATCTCTTGGTACTTATAACCCTATTTAGGTGGCGTTCTCTTGGAATTTGGTTTGTAGAGTGATGATGTACTTTTGTTGGTGTAAATGATGTACTCTAAAGTAATCTCCCACTATATCTTCATGTCAGATGAGATATATTATTGATATACATACACCAGTTTGATGTGCTGCTTACATATATCAGTATCTGTGCAGTTTAATCTAGTTATAGCCTAATACTTAAGCCATGAAGAATGGAAAAGAATGCCCCGTTATTGCACAATCATACTCCTGTAAGTGTATGGCCATGAGGTTGTTTTTCTTGCTGGCCAATCAGTCTTCTAATACTTGTGAGAAGACTTTTTCATCTTATCTGGGTCTTGAGGATCAATTTTCGAGGATAAAGTTTAGATCTTCTTTTCTTCTACATTTTTAACACATATTCATCAATATAAGATAAATATTTTGCACCCATATAGATCATACCATGCTCCTAAAAAGGAATCCAATACACACATGCATTAGGACTTTAGATGGAATTTTCTGAAATCCTGGTATTGATTGTTCTTTTATATCAAATTCTGTTAGATTACCCGTTTTTAAAGATGGAGCATCAGATTCCGGTACATTCAAGAATGTCCTTCGCTGTGGAATTGCTCGTCATGCCAAAGAGCTTGAAAGTGCCAAAGCCTTGGTAGATGGGAAGTTGGTGAGATTAGTTTATCTTAAATTTGTTTCTGGTCCATGACTTGTATGTTGTTTCCAGGTTTGATATTGAGCAATTAACTTTGTATGTCTACTGTTGGTGTGCTGGTAGCAATTTGTTTAGCTAGTTTGTCATATCATTCTGAGATTGTTTTTGTATTTTCAAAATTTCCCTTTTAGCTCTTAGCCTTGCCATCATGTTAATTATGAAGCTATATTTTCCCATTTTTTATGTTAAAAAATAATCAAATAATTCTAGCTAACGCTGTTACTATCCCTTGTATTTTATGTTATTACACAGAACCATGATGTTACAATTTGATTTCTCTTGCTTCGTTTTGTCTGAATTTTACGCTTATCCAGAGACTTAGAGGTAGAATATATAGTCGTCTCTCTCTCTCAATGAATAATTCTCAAGCCAACTTCTTTATGAAATATTGAAATTGAGTACTTATGGGTTGTTATTAGAAATGATATATTTTAAATACAACTTGAATACTATTAAGATCATATTCTTTAATTAAATAGGAATATCTATTTGAATTTGGTATCCATAAACTATTAAAATGTTGGATCTAGATCCTCTCCAATTAGGTAGTAATTGGAAAGTGTCCAATTCCTCCAATCATTACTGCACATTTCAAATTTAACTAGACAAGATTAAACCATGTAGGATTCCACTATTGTGATAGTGGTTTTCAAAAAATCATGGTTTTTAAGATCATAGTGGTTTGCAAGACAATAGTGATATCATACATAGCCTAATCTCGTTCCTTGAATTTGAAATGAACGGCAATAATTGGAGGAATGAGACACACTCCAATTACCACCTAATTGGAGAGGGTCCGAACATCAAAATTTCCATTGGAAAAAATGTTAGATCAAATCAATTGCGATTAATCTTTAGTAATAAGCAGATATTTGAAGGAAAACTGGATCTAATTTCAGATTTGGAGAAGAATATTTGAATTTCAATTTCAAACAGAAGATTGTGGAAGAATAACATATGAGCATTTCAACATCCATTCCCTCCACTTCCACTCCAGCTCTAATTACAACGAACTAATTTGAATGTATTTTTCTTCCCCTTGTGTTCCTATGTTAACACAATTCTAATTATTCTTGCATTGGGCATGTGTTCAGGCATATTGCATTCAGAATGCAGCTAACATTTAAATTTAAGGAAAAATATGCATTCTCAAGTGGCAATGTGAAGTTATAGTTCTTAAATTTTATTTAGTAATTAACTAGGCCAGTGCAACTTTGGGTACTGTATCTATGTCCGACCATTTTCTATGCTGAAGTTTTGCTGGCTTCTTCAGAGTATTGACCTACCAGTTAGACAATAACAAAATTACTTGATGAAAAAAGGACAGTTTATTTGTATGATTTACTGATTTTCTGTTTAAACCTATAATGAAGGTGGCAGAAGACCAACACATAACTTCAGAGGGCACACATAATGTTGAATTGCTTTTGCCATTTGTGAGTGATGCATATACTGGAGGTGAGTTGGGATTTTGACTGGTATGAGATATATGCACTTGACCTCTTCGTAAATTTAATAAGCATAAGCATTAGCACCATTTTGTGTACTTAAGATTATTCTTTTTTTTCTTGATCTCTTTAGAAAGGGCTAATACTGTCTAATTTCCTTTAAAGCATCCAGTTCAAATGAAGTTGCTGGGCTGGTTGTCTTCACCGGTTCTATATGTGCTTCAGCATATTTGGGTCCAAAAGAATCTGCATCACAAGCGATATGTGATTTAAAGGTATTTCATATATCTGAAAATTATCTTAGTCGATTTTGAAGTATTGAGGAGTTCTCACATTATCAACAGACTGGTAGCTTACTGCAGATGCCTTCTGATTCTATTGTGTACCCAGTTTAGGTAGTTCGTACCCAATTAGGTCGTGTTCATATGTTGTTCACATGTAAAAAATCCTTCAAAATTAACATTTTTTTAGAAAATTTGTGATGGAGCACTTGGCGATCTCACATTTGTATTTAAAGTTCTGCTTTGAAGATACATATGAGCAATCGTTCATTGTATTACTTTCTTAACTTCCAAATATATTTATCCAAAATAAGCGAGTTACGAAAAGTTGAACTGAAGATTTGATGGTTCTGATGGACATAATCAGTGTTGTAAATAGCGGCCAATAGCGGGGCTATAGCGGCGCGAATAGCGGTCGCGGCCCTTCAGCGCTACGTGTAGGGGTTTCGCGGCTGGCTTAAGCGGGAAAATCCGCTATTCATTCGAATAGCGCGTAAAAGCGGATTTTAGCGGGTTAAAAGCGGATTTTCGCGGTTTAAAGCGGATTTTCACGGTTAAAAGCGGTTAAACCCGCTATCACACATATTATGATGCTATATTTCTTGAATTTCTTCATAGTTCATTCATACAACAAGCCTACTAATTGTTATTTACTGATAATACAAGAAATTTACAACTAATTGAATTTTTAGATTTTTTATGAATTTTCTTATTATTTAGGATATTTAAATATATTTAAATTTAACCGCTATTTGACTGTGCGCTATTTGCCGCGATTTCGCCGCAATAGCCCGATATAGCCTTAGCGGTACCTCGCCGCGACGCGCCGCGATCCGCTATCAGCAACCTTGGACATAATAAAGTTGAATCCGCATGAACAGCCAGGGTTAGGTACTCATATGTAGTGATTATTTTACAGGGCTATTATTCCACGTTTAGTTTGTCTCTACGTCTAGCATTTTTTTAATGTTACCCTGTTTTTTATGCTGTGGAGCTCTCATTAAGTATGATCTTTCTTGCACTATACCCTTTTGTGCTATTAGTAAAATATTAACCTTAATAAAAAGTGCATGTAATGGGTGATTGATGACTTAAGTGAAGAGCAAAACTAAATCGTCCTCAACCCCATGTATGCTTCATTTCCCTTCATAAACCAGGGGATATTAAACATGGTGCATACATGCCGCTGAAAATATGGCTATATCATGTTTCACAACTACTTGTGTTATATGTATTTACTGCAGTGATTAATCAATTACAGCATCTTTTGTTATCACTTAATTATCTTTTAATAACTGTCAGCAGATTTATGTCATTCAATAATTATCGTGTCTTATTATTATTGAACTAATTTCAAATCAAAGAGCACGATGGGAAGAGAATGCCTATACTATCTTTACGCATCAACTTCTTCATGACTTGTGAATTTGTGACGTTGAGCTTATTTACTGTGTAAAGACCTTAATGCCTATGCACATTGTATGATCTTGTTAGTACTTGGCTCTATAAGGAGGTAAATTGATGCAGATGCCTAGATTTTTTATTTTTATTTTTCCTTCTGTATCTATTTGAATCTTGTACAGTCATTAGTTCGCTTTGTGTATGATTTTAGGAGTGTTGCTTCTGAAACACCTGTTTAATTTCTAGGGAAAACCTCCCATCTTTCTTCTTGCTAATATCATTTCGATAAAATGTTGTGGTAACCTCTCTTACAGGGAGATATAGTGTCAAGTATGCGAAGTAGACTTGATATCATATGTGATGATGCAGAGGATAAAGTAACTATGGCTAGTGATCATGTAGGCGAGTCAACTGGTGACACATTAGCTGGGAAGGCCATCCATCAACTTAATCTACAGGAGTTGAGGTAGGCTGACTCTTAGATGCCTTTGGTGTGCATAAATGCAATCTAATCTAAACAACAGTTGATTATATTTCACTCTCATCACTACCCATATATATTATTATCATTCAAGTGCAAATGGCACTTGCTCTCCTCTTATAAATCCATCTTTCTATTTGGCTGGTTAACTTCACAGTTTTCTTGGTGGAATGTTTCCGTATTAGTCTATGTAGCAGACAAATCGACTACTTTTCAATCTGCAAGGTGTTTACTGTTTCTTTTTTATACAATTATGAAAAACAGTGCCTGAAAATAAATTAAATTATGTTGATTACGGTGTATTTTTCCTCCAGTTCATAGTGACTACATATTCATATCATTATTAGATCTGTCAAGCATTTCATGCACATAATTTGCTTGCATTTTGGTTAAGAAGTACTTTAGATGTCTATTATTTAGTACAATATCCATGTTCCTAAGCACCACTGTTCTGATTGCGGCCTTAGGATTTCTTGACATTTTAAATAAGTGGCGATCGAAGTGCTTCATGCATTTAAGAATTATTAGTCGTTGTCTATGCCATACTTTTGATAGTTCTATTCACTAGATCAATTTTAGCAAATTACTCCTACTCATTCTTCTAGCTCTTGTTTATGTGTAAATTTTTATGCTCATGACATTGTAACCCATTTCATATGCTGTCTGTGAAACTTCACTGGCTCACTGCACGCTTTTGTCAACAGGAAACCTTATTGCCTCACATTTCCTAGAAGAGTTTTTGTTCCTTGGCAGTCCGGCATCTTCATCTGTGATTACCTGCAACCAATGGAGACTTTTGAGGTATGTTTTTCTTCCACTTGTTATATTAGTTAAAAGCAGCAGTGTTTCCTTTTTTAGTCGAATAGTTGAGTCGAATAGTTGGGCTTTAGACAAGAATAAAGAACTTTTCTTTCTATACTTGAGGGAATTTCTCCCCTTTAGAATATAACTGAATATTGAATATTAAAAGTGATAAGTTTAAAGGATAAATATTGCCTATTCAATCTAATTTATTAGGTTAGTTTAGCTATTTTTCTGCTGTCTTGGCTTCACTCAATTTTACACTGTGCGTTATTTTCATTTTTAATAAGAAGAGTAAGCTCCTACCTTGTTCCATGAATAAGACCCCAATCAAACGGCCCTGTTTCTTGAATAGGACTACAATGAAACACACAACTTTAGACTTGTAAAAAGAAAAGGTTAAAAAAAAGAGAGACTTAGCTCTCCCTCCCTCCTTTCCTCCCTCTCACGCACACACGATGTGGCACAATGAGACCTTACTGTTGGTAGAAATCTTAGATATTTAACATGCGCTTGCAGTTTCAGTAACAAGTATTTTCTTGAAGTAATGTACTTTGTATAGAGATTTTTTGAGATCGTTTGTTGACGTACTAATCAAAATCAAGCATCCTTATTGCATTTTTCTTTCATTCTTTATAGGATCTAAAGGACCGGTGTAAAGAGATGATGGCCATGGAATCTCCAATCGAAAACTCTGAAATATTAGAACCAGAAACCGAAGCTCCCTCTATAATGGCAAAATCTTTCTGGGACATAATCCATGAAGATCCAACAAGTGCTGTAATAGAATCCAAGAACACGACGAAATCTACTGAAAGAGATTATGGTGGAAAACCAAAAAGCTCGGGTTTCAATCTTGTGACTGCTATTTTCATTCTTGTGCTTGCGCTCTTGTTGGGATATGCGACTATAGACTTTAAACCGGTGAAACCAGCTCATTAAATACTGGCTCCAATTTCCCTCCTTTTGTACTGGTACTCTTGTATGTACATGAATATCATCTTGGAGATTACCTCCAATACAGGCGATCAACTTGATTGGCTATAAATTTGTGTAGAATGAATTTTGTGGTGTTTATGCTGTAACTTGTCTTACAAACTCGTAAGTGGTCGGGTTGCTATTTGCTTTTTTCTATAATTCCTCCTATATTACAATTTTGTTTATAAGTGAGGTATATCAATATAATTATCGATATAAATTCCTCTTTTCAGTTGACGGTCATGACAGTGATATTAACCTCGATTATTATGTATGCGTTAAAATGTACTCGGCTTATTTTGTTGAATTGAATTTGAATTCTTTCATCTGTGTCTTCTACATTTTAGATGGATGGAGTTCTAGAGGCGAAAGCACTACAAAAACCCATTGTCTGGAAGCTGGGTGCATATACTTTTGGTTTTCCATTTTTGCCCTCTGACTATTTCTTTTATTACTATTTCTCACAGCTTCTAAGCTAATAAGAGTCGAGGGTAGTTTGAGAAAAAGTGGTGACAAATTTCAGCTACTACTGTAGGGTGTTTGCATTCTTTAGTTGCCTTCATTCAAGATTTTTGTTCTCATGGTGACGAGACAGCAAACAGGGATATTTTTTGAAAACTGCAGAGATGCATCAAGAGCAACATAATGATTTCAAGCTCTTCGCTCTTGTCACAGGTGAAAGTGAATATTTTTTTCGTTAATTGGCTATATTTCTTGAATTTTTTAGCATTAAACTTAATATCCCTCCTAAATTTCAGTATTTGTTTTAGATAAACATGCGTTAATTTGTTTCTATCATTTGGAAGGATAACCCGATCTTTATCGATTCCTGTGAATCTTGAATTGCTAAATGATTTCATTCTAATCATCTTATAATCTAGAGCTTTTTGAACAGTGAATACTTATCGTATTTTTAAAATTGTTAGATGTCATTTTAATCGTTCTTTAAACGAAGGGATTGTTACAGTTTGTTTTTGTTTCCTGTTGATATTTTTGTGCTTAGGGGGGGTTAGTCATTTAGAACTTAAAACTGGAACTGTGATAATTTGTGGGATAAATTTTTAAGGTGTTAGTCACATAGAACTAGAAAATGAGATATTTTTTTATAGTGTTAGTCAAGTAGAACTTTTGTAGAACTAGAACTGTATTATTTTTTTTGTGCGTTAGTCAAGTAGAATTCTACTAGAATTAGAATTGGGATAATTGGTCATAATTATCCCACAAATTATACTACCTATATATATAACCATAAGTTCTCCTCTCTCAAATTATCCCACACATTGGAAAGAATACAATTGGGAAAAAAAAAGTGAAACGCCGCCTCCCTCCCTCTTGGTTAGTTTCTCCGCCTAGAAAATTTCTCTGCTATTAAGTCAATCATCCGTTCATTTTTTTGTCTTTACTTTGGTTTTTTTGATGATTAGATCTTTTATTATTATCTTCAAGATGTATTACTTTATTGATAGCTTTTTAACGTTAAATTACTTTATTATTATTTGTTTGATCTAAGTTTTCTCTCCACAACAGTGGTTTAGGTTAAGAATATAGTGTTGGTGGGTTAGTGCTAAAGATATGCGGGCTATTTATGTTTTTTTTATAAGTTAGAAAGCAACTTTACGATCACATTGATGATTAGATGTTGAATAGTTAATGGTGATATCTATTATTATTAAATCGGCTCAGTAAATTGATTGGGATATTTATAGTTCATCTGTCGATCATCTGTTTAGCGGTCATGGATGATTCCTGTGTACATTTCATTTATTTGCTGATTTGGTTTCAGCGATCATGATGAGATTGGTCCAAAGGGTTAATGGCTGAAAAATGCTTATTTTTCTTTCTTTATGATGTTATGAGATTTGAACTTCGACATTTATGATCCTCCGCTAGAAGCTCCACGAAATGTTGCTGATGCAGACGATGACTCCGATAAAGAAGACGAGTTATAGACTCAACGAGCAGCTATAGGAGCTTGGAGAAATTCTATGGCAGATGTCATGTGGGATGATAGAAGCCATGTGGGATGATGAAAGTCGAGTCACTCTAGGGATTTAGATTTTTATTTATTTGTAAATTATTTTATTATTTGAGATGAATAGTGATGCTTTATTGCATTATAGTTTATAGTTATTACTAGAATTTGCTTATCAATATTATATTATTTTTAATATACAATTATTAACAATAGTAATTTATACCCACCATTACCCCCACCAAATTATCCTACCAAATTATGCAACTTCATAATATTATCGATCATTATCTCACCAAATTATCCTACCAAATTATCCCACTTTAAGAATTACCCATCATTGTTCCACTAAATTATCCCAGTGTTAAAATATTATCCCACTTTACCAATTATCCCAGTTCTACTTAAAAAGTTCTAGGTGACTAACCCCCCCTTATAGAAATGAACTTGAGATCTTATACCAATTAATTAAGATCTTAACTAGAATCAAGGTTTTAAATATCGTTTGTTAGGTATTTATCGAAAATTCATATCGGATGGTGGAAATCAGGGATGGTTTTTTTTTTTTTTGAAAATGATCTTTTTTGTTGAATAATTAGCAAAACCGACCGTTTTGCTAATTATTTAGCAAAAACGACATAGAGGTGTAAAACCCTAAAAATTTGAATATCTTGTGATAAATAATAATAAATAGGTTATATGGTGATAAATAACATATTTTGATGTTTGAATATGCTAGGAATTGATTTGAGATCAATTCAATATAGACATGTGAATATAAGAGTGCAAATGCACAAAACATGCACGAAGGAAAATCTGAGAAAAATGACCAGTTAAGAGTTTATATATTTTACACACCGATATAGTTAGAATCTGGAAAAACTTAAAACCAAAGTTATAGGTCTCTTCAAGAGCTTTCCAACAAATCTTAGATCACCTCATTCCAAGGACGGACGAGAAAGTTACAGCCAAAATACCGAAGGTTGTTTTCCTAATCAGACTAGGTTTCCAGGTTTTAGTCAAACATGTTTGTTTCGGGTTTGCCTCTATAAATACCTGTGTTTTTCATAAAAATTCCTCTATTTTATCATATCTCTGAATCCTAGCAGCCACCCTCTCCCCTAAAAAATCCTAGATCTTTTTCTTATGAGTTTTGAGAGCTTTGTGAAGAAAATACCGACGCGAGGGCGAGATCATCGACGTGTGGCGAGGGAAAACGAATTGTTTGCACGTTTGGATCGCTTTCTGTTTGTTTCAGAGGCTTGCACACGAGATTAAGGCAAGATCATCTGCATCCAAACTCATCCTCATAGTTTTAATGATTATTAAAATATTTAATCGATGTTTGCATGCTTAAAGTTTAACCCGATATGAAAAAGATTAGACTTTTGATGATAAATCCTAATAAAATATTAGATCTATATGGTTTTCTTGCTGTTTATGATAGAAAAGTGATCATGATCATTAGGGTTGCCTTTAATTTTGTTTTTATCATGTTAATCATGCTTAGAACATGTTTTAACCCTAATTTGTCGTTTAATTGAGTTTACATGTTGATTAAAGATGTTTAAACGCTAGGGTTGTGATACCTAAGAAATATGAACAAATTTAAATCAAATTATATCTGTTCTATAAGTTTTTACAAGCAAGCTTATGTTAAACATGTTAAGCAATCATGTTTTAAACAAGGAATTTTGTTAATTAGGTTGTTAAACCCTAATTAGATAAACCCAAGAGTTTGAATCATGTTCAAAATAATTTCTGTAAGTAATTATCAAAGTTTAAGTGTTTTTATATGTTTCGTGATAAGAAAATTTTATTTTTGAACAAGTTATAATATCGCAAATCTCTATTTGTGCACCTTGTGCACGTTCCTGGTCCGGTCGACCGACACCGTTGGGGTGGTTGATCGGTCTGCCTCTTTTGAGTTTCCTGGGTGTTGTTTGCTTACATTTTGGATGCAACCGCGGGGTGTGAGCCGCATGATGATACACGTACACTTAGTTTATGTTTATATAACACGCATTGTTGAGATATTTGTCATACGTTGAGTTGATGAAAGTGAATTAACATATGAAAATGAATTATTTAATCAGTTATGGATGCTCAGTGTGGTTGTTTATCCCGTAACGAGATCTCGGTTGTACCACACTAAGAGTATTTGATTGTTTTTCCTGTAATGAGACTTCGGCGGTACCAAATACTCGAAAATGATCGATGTGTTTTTCGGGTTGGGCTAATGTGCCTATTCATCGTTGTACGATCATCTGGAAGCATATCCGAAAATAGGGAGATAAAACCTATTGCCGTAGAACGATTGAGTAAGGACGTTAAATCCACATGATATTGTGAGAACCTTACAAAAGTATCGTTAGTTCATGTAGCCGGATTAGGGAGATAAAACCTATTGCCACAGAACGATTGAGTAATGATGTTATTTCCACACGATAGTGTGCTGTACCTTACAAGAGTATCGTTACTTCATGTTGAGACATATATATACATACACAGACGTAGTTTTGTTCCCAAGTTAGACTACCCGAGAGTAGGGTACAATTTGGATACTTTTGGCATACATGGTATGATCTATGGAGATGTTTATTTTGGATGATATTTTCCTTATGACTGCGTCACTACCCTCGACCCGAGGGTAGTCCGAGATTATGACATTTGCTCATTATATTTGAGGTTTAGAGTTGTAGTCTACTTTCATGTATTGTTTCTCTTTTACTTCTTAGTTGGGATCAATGATTAGAGATTCACAATTTGAGACATGGTATATATATGAGGGTTTCCTTATTTGGATTATTTCGCTCGGTGTACTAGTCTCGTGTTGTGGGTTTCTAATTATTAGTTTCCTTTAGATTGTTTATATTTACTTTGTTGTTAATGTTTAGCTATCTACAATTTGAGACATATGGTATATACATGAGAGTTTTCTTGTTTAGATTATTTCGTTTGACGTACTTCGTCTCATGTTGTAGATTTCTAAGTATTAATTCTATTAGATACGGAGAAAATGATCTAGATAGACTATGCTTAATAGGTAGAGCCTCCACTTCATCTAGCAGCTCTGGAGGCGAATGGAGGTGATCTTGCTATAGCGCTCTGACGCTCTGGTTGTTGTTCTTTTTATTTTTGATTTTCCTTTTAGGCGGCTTAGAGCTTCGGAGAGTCACAGGATGACGGAGATTTTGCATAGTCGCCGTCATATGATTTTACCATTAGGAGCTCCACCGTAATTTCATGCTTTTATGTAG